GCGCTGTCCCTCAGCTCTTCAGCTCAAGGCTAGCGCTCTACCACTTGAGCCACAGCGCCACTTCCGGCTTTTTTCTTTTTGCTTATGGGGTGCTGAGGAATCGAACTCAGGGCCTCATGCATGCAAGGCAAGCGCTCTACCACTGAGCCACCTTCCCAGCCCCTTAACAGTTGTTTTTGAGATCAACATGAGTCAAGGGGTAGGAAGCCTATAACAGGAACGTGAGGTGTAGGTTACAAGAACCTCAGGGGTGAATTAACAATTCTAACAGTCATGGTTTTGTTGAACATATGACTGAAACATTATTTGGTACAGATTCAGTTATGGTAAACAATTTGCGGATTATGATTATATACAGCAAATATACCCCCCAAAAATGCCATCCTTATTTTTCTTCTCAATTCAGGAGAGATGAGTGACAGTGGTCCAGTTCATCCAGGCCTCCCTGCAGGGCACTGTGTTTCAGAGCTGACAGAAAGTGGCCATGAGCCCAACCAGGATCTGAACCTTTCTGTGGAACAAGGAAGTAGCAGAAGCCGAGCAAACTCTCCATCTTCTCAGTCCCCCGATCTTCCAAACCTGCATAAAGGTGAATTGTCAGCCAAGGGCCACAGTGGGTCTGAAGCCTGGAGCAGTTCTTTCCTGAGATCATCTTTGACTTCAGAAACCCCTGTGCAGAAGGAAGCTCACAGTGCAGCTGAGCAGCCCGAGCAGCAGGCCGAGTCCAGCCTGCCCTCCGCCGAGACCAGGGCAAACAAGAAGAAGAAGAAACTTCGGAAGAAGAAAACGCTCCGGGCTGCCCACATTCCGGAGAACAGCGACACAGAACAGGATGTGTTTATGGCTAAACCTGTAAGGAAAGTAAAAGCTGGGAAGTTCGCTAAAGGGGGCAAAGTAACAACCTCTACCTGGGAAGACAGCAGACCCCGGCCCGAGCAGGAGAGCGTGAGAGATGAGCAAGAGAGCTTCAGAGATGAGCAGGAGAGTGACTCGTCTCTGGAAGTCCTAGAAGTGCCTAATCCTCAGTTAGAAGTGGTAGCCATCGAATCGTCTGAATCTGGCGAGGAGAAGCCAGACAGCCCATCCAAAAAGGATACTTGGAACTTGGCCCAGCAAAACCCACTGGGAGCTTCTCGCTCTGGGTGTGATGAAGTGAGCTCTACCAGTGAGATCGGCACTCCCTACAAGGACGGCGCCCCCGTGAGGTGAGGATGCTGTGCGGCTCTCGGCAGAGCCGTTTCACCAGTCTCTGGTTCTATTTGAACTTGTTTAGAAAGTTAAATTTATGTGGAAAGAGGAGACATTCTAGACATGGAAGAATCCTCTCAGAGATGGTTCTGCTTTCTTTCTTAACTCATTTTAAGTAATAACTCTGTTTATAATGCATTTATTTCTCTTCATAAAGAAAGTTTGTGAGAAAATCCAATTTCTTACCATTGCTACGTTGTTCAAGAGAAATGCTTTGAGTTAGGACATTTTTCGTTTGCTCCCTGTCTTGTTCTCTCACACTAAGGAGAACTTGTGCTCTTATTTTATAGCGTGGCAGAAACTCAGACTGTGATCTCCTCCTTAAAAGGATCAAAAAACTCTTCAGGTAATTGCTCCATGTAAAAGCAGCCATGGAGAAAAAAAATCTTCACTACAGCACAGGAGCTGGGGTGTCAGGTGTGGCTGAACCAGAAGGCTGGTGGCCTTGGTCGCCGCCAGATCTTCAAGTCCTGGCCTTCTGTGCTCGCATCTTTTGATTCCCTTTTCTGTTCTCCTACTTAGTGAGAAGGGTTCCCCCTGTCTCTGCCTCCCACATAGTCTGCATTGAGGGCGTGTACCACCACACCTGGCATATAGTTCTGACTTTTGAGCATCTTTTCAGATTGTAGCACACTTACTTTTTTTTTTTTTTGTCGGTCGTGGGGCTTGAACTCTGGGCCTGGGCGCTGTCCCTCAGCTCTTCAGCTCAAG